AAAAATATGTCTACATCAAACTAACGTTTCGACCACCTTCGGGTCATTTTCAAAGTTATAAACATATATGTATATGAAAGCGGTTGATTACAATAGATTAACATAGATCACTAATAGAATAATTCATAGAAGTACAATGAAAATTACTAAGGGGATGTATTTTTTGAAGCCCAATATAAGGAATATTTGTGTTAATTCAGTATATTTATAAAATATATTTTTACGCATAAGAATAAATATACTGAATTAATACGCGTATATATTATATTAATTATTTCATCAATTGTACAAAAAGCAGACGGTACAATAAAAGTAAATTATTAATTCTACATTTGCGTATAACACATTTTTACATAATATAAACGATTTATTTACATAAGTTGATTAATTTTCATTTTTTAACGATTCCGATATATCAATCTATAAACATAACCGAATCATTTTAGACTTAATACCAAAAATTGAGAGTCAACACCCAAACTTGGGGATTGATACCGAATCATTTGGGGCTTAACACCAAAAATTGAGAGCAAAATACCCGAACTTGATGTTGACCTCGAACTATTTACGGCTCAACACCAAAAATTGAGAGTCCACATCCAAACTTGGGGATTGACACCGAATCATTTGGGGCTTTGCCCCCGTGCCACGACAAGGCTCTCCACGCACGGGGGTATAGTCAACCCTCAAATTTTGTGGTCAACCCTCAAATTTAGGGGTTAACCCTCAAAGTTTGAGGGTTTTTTTCGTAAGGGAATGGGGTAAGAGTCAACACCTGAACTTGGGGATTGACGCCGAATCATTTGGGGCTTAACACCAAAAATTGAGAGCAAAATACCCGAACTTGATGTTGATCCCGAACTATTTAGGGCTCAACACCAAAAATTAAGAGTCAACACCTAAACTTGGGGATTGACACCGAATCATTTGGGGCTTAACACCAAAAATTGAGAGTCAACACTCAAACTTGGGGTTTGACACCGAATCATTTAAGGTCTACCCTGAGAATTTAACGATAAACCCCCAAATTTTGAGTGTTAACACTCAATTTTTATAGTCAACCCTCAAATTTTGTGGTCAACCCTCAAATTTGGGGGTTAACCCTCAAAATTTGAGGGTTTTTTTCGAAAGGGAATGGGGATCGAAATGTTGGAAAATTGCTATACCAAGTGTATCGCCCTCGAAGGCAACTATGTTGAGGAATAAATATAACTTTGCCCAAAAAACGCTTGTTTTCATTAAAAATCCCGGGACTTTTCAGCCCATGTAGTATATGTTCACATGTTTTATAGGTAACTAAATTTTATACACGTTTATTCTTATATTATTCAGTTTTATACTGTAGAATCTGGATTAACCTTTTGTAAGAAGGATTGTTATTTTGGCTTACTTAATGGCATTATCAGCGACTTTTTTATATTTAGCGAATACTTTTTGTAATCAAACCATACGTATTACAAGATTTATTTTTTGATAACTACATCCAGTCATTATTGAGATGATTGTTTCTGCTACAAATCGATTGCCTACAGTATCTTTTGCCTACATCACTTTTGCCTACAGTTCGATTGACTACATGTATTATTGCCTACACCTCGATTGCCTACATGCGCTTTTGCGCACAAATAAAAATTTTAGAAACGGAGTTACTTTTGCCTACATGTACTATTGCCTACATGTACTATTGCCTACAGCTCAATTGCCTACATGCGCTTTTGCACACAAATAAAAATTTTAGAAACGGAGCTACTTTTGTCTACAGCTTGTACTATTGCCTACAGCTCGATTGCCTACAGCTCGATTACCTACATGCGCTTTTGCGCACAAATAAAAATTTTAGAAAAGAAGTTACTTTTGCCTACATGTACTATTGCTTACAGCTCGATTGCCTACAGTTCGATTGCTTACAGCTCGATCGCCTACATGCGCTTTTGCGCACAAATATAAAATTAAAGTTAAGTAAGAAAATAATTTATGTTTTTAGGAAATCTGTCATGTGAACAGTGGGGTGTCAGCGTACGAGTAGACAGTGTCCGCTTGGAATATTTTCCCAAAAAAATCTAACCTTAATCAAACCAGTTGTTGGTGTGAGGCAGCCCTCATTTCGCGTAGAAGGTTGAGAGCTGTAGGCAATAATGTATGTAGGCAATCGAGCTGTAGGCAATAATACATGTAGGCAATTGAGCTGTAGGCAATAATATGGTACATGTAGGCATCTATTGCCTACAGCTCGATTACCTACATGCGCTTTTGCGCACAAATAAAAATTTTAGAAAAGAAGTTACTTTTGCCTACATGTACTATTGCTTACAGCTCGATTGCCTACAGTTCGATTGCTTACAGCTCGATCGCCTACATGCGCTTTTGCGCACAAATATAAAATTAAAGTTAAGTAAGAAAATAATTTATGTTTTTAGGAAATCTGTCATGTGAACAGTGGGGTGTCAGCGTAGACAGTGTCCGCTTGGAATATTTTCCCAAAAAAATCTAACCTTAATCAAACCAATTGTTGGTGTGAGGCAGCCTTCATTTCGCGTGGAAGATTGTGAGCTGTAGGCAATAATGTATGTAGGCAATCGAACTGTAAACAATAATACATGTAGGCAATTGAGCTGTAGGCAATAATATGGTACATTATGTAGCGCAACGTGTCGGTGTATCCGTATCTGTAATAAATAGAGCGTGGTTACGATATCAAGAGACAGGACAATACACGAGACGTCAAGGAAATGGCCGTCATCGTATAAAAACAGTTCGACAAGATCGAAAAATTGTTCGCCACGTTTTGAGAAGACGAACGATTACTGCAAGTGTGTTCGACGTGAAGTTCCTACTATACATCATGTCAGCGAACAAACGATTCGTCGTCACTTAAGAGAGGTGGGTCTTCGTTCTCGCTCTCGTGTACAGGTGCCAAGACTTACATTTGCACATCGTCAGGTTCTTCTATGAGTTATTCTATTAGTGATCTATGTTAATCTATCGTAGTCAACCGCTTCCATATACACTACTCAACAAAATATAGGGAACACTTTCAAACACGCTAAAAATTGGGCAATATTCAGAACATCATAATTCAATGAAAAATCATCGCAGACAAAAAATTAAAAA